GGGTAGAAAAAATGAGCGGGGGGGGGGGTCCCAGTGTGGGTAAGGACCAGTGTGAAGGCTTAGATGTGGGGAAAAGGGCCTCAGGAAGCAGCTTTGTCAGTCTGGGATGTAGGGCTGGGCCAGACACGGTGGGAATGAGGGTGGTTGGTGTGTGTGTGTGGTCACAGCTCAGATGAGGGAGGTTTGGCACAGGTGTGAGTGTGTGTGTGTGTGTGTGTGTGTGTGTGTGTGTGTAGGTAGGATCTGGGAACTTTTTCAGGGGAGAGGATTCTTGGGTAGGGTCTGGGAAGGCAGATCCATTCTCTCCCGGAGGGGCTCATGGTAAGCAGCAGGCTGACCGTGATGCCGCCTTTAACCCTCAGTACCAGGAGCTCCAGATGACAGCAGGAAGACATGGAGACGATCTGAAGAACAGCAGGATGGAGATTGCAGACCTCACCCGCACAATCCAGAGGCTGCAAGCTGAGATTGGCAGTGTCAAGAAGCAGGTGGGATGGGTGTTCAGGGTGGGCTGACCAGACATGCCGCCTCCCACAATGCCCTCCGGGATGGGACTCCTGAAACTCAACCCTTGCACGCTTCTTCTCTGTGACCATCTCCCGAGCAGATTGACCAGATGCGCGGGGTCATTTCGGATGCAGAGGAGAAAGGAAATCAGGCCCTCCAGGATGCCGGGCAGAAGCTGCAGGGCATGGAGGAGGCCCTGCAGCAGTCCAAGGAGCGCATGGCCCGTCTGCTGCGGGACTACCAGGCACTGCTGGGAGCCAAGCTGTCCCTGGATGTGGAGATTGCCACCTACCGCAGGCTGCTGGAGGGCGAGGAGAGCAGGTGGGCCATGCTTTGGGGCCAAAGCGCAGGTTGCACTGCTAGAGTAGGGGGACGAACTATTCGGAGAGAAGGTCATCCCAGCTTTTTGGGAAGACTGGTAACCCAGGGTGAGCAGAAGCATTCAAGTCAGAAGCAGAGGATGTGTGAATTGGCAGGGCCATTATCATCATTCTCCTGCCCCTAAGCAGAATGTACCTGAACACTGACCCAAGCCATTGCAGCCAGGTGGTGACATCCAGTGTTAAAAGGCTTTAAGAAAATACTTAAAATCCCTTCTGGCCCCACTGGCCCCTGGCCTCTCTGCCTATGCACACATCTTTCCCATGCACAAGGGTTGGGGATGCTCTCTCTTCCCATGGGACATCTCTGCTCCTGATGTCTCCAGGCTGCTACATGCCTTCCTTTGGGCTTTGCAGGTCTGGCTAATGTGTGCTTTGGTTTTACAGGATGTCAGGAGAGCTGCAGAACCACGTGAGCATCTGTAAGTAACAGAGTCCTGGAGCTGGGCTGATTGGTGCTAAGCAGAGGAGGGCTCAGCAGGGTTGCCCAGCAGGGAACTGGCAATGGGCATTTTAATTTCCAGTCCCACGCTATGAAAACAAAAGAGCAAACACAACTGCAAAGCCAGAAGAAATTCATTGAAATAAATTAGGATTTTAGTTCTTGCTTATCTTAATTTTTATGATTCCTAATAATCAGCATGGCTTAGAACTCCTTAGGGTATATTCATAATGAGAATGTGCCTCCGCATCCCTTGTAGCATGAAGAATACTTTGGAAATGGGACTGCTTTCATCAGTGTGTCTTTCTGCAAGTCAGATGCTGCCAGTGATGGAGGCTGTGGGCGGCCTCCCTGGGGGTGGTTGCGGGGAGGCGGGGCGGCTGCCCAGGCCTCTGACCCGAGTCCGGGTGTCCTTTCCCCACAGCTGTGCAGAGCAGCCAGGTGACTCTCGGCGCAGGAAGCGGCGGTCGAGGCTCTGGAGGTTACGGCGGCGGCAGCAGCTGGGGCTACAGCGGAGGAGGCAGCAGCTCCCGGGGTGGCGGGGGCTACGGAGGGGGCTACGGAGG